AAACCACCCACTTAATAATCATTTTTATCAGGAATTAAGTGTTTACGTGGTCTATTTAAAGCAGAATTTATTTTTTTATTAAAATATTTGTATTCAGTATTAAAGCTCTCATATAAAAGTGACAAGTGTGGCATTAAACCTTTCTGTCATCATGGAAACCAAACCAGACCAAGTTACAGGTCAGGTCTGTGGAGAGGCGCCCCCGCTCACAGTCAGAATGTTTGTTTTTCGAGGTATTTTTGAGCTGTAAAACCTGCACCTGTAACTGAATAAATGTAAAGTAGAACTGATTAAAGTCACACTGTGGAACATTCCAGACACAGCAGTGACGTCTCCATAGAAACAAGAATGAATATCTACTTATCTACTATTGTTTTAGACTCGATTTGAATCTGATTTTCAGTATTTTTACTTCACAGGTTGTTGTGATGAAGTGACCTGGGACCTTTGGGACTTCGGGAGTGTCTTTTTTTCCCTGTGTGTGTGTTTGTGTGTGTGTGTTGCTCTGTGTGTGTGTTTGTGTGTGTGTGTTGCTCCGTGTGTGTGTGTTTGTGTGTGTGTTTGTGTGTGTGTGTGTGTGTGTTTGTGTGTGTGTTGTGTTGCTCCGTGTGTGTGTGTGTTGTGTGTGTGTGTGTGTGTGTGTGTGTGTGTGTGTGTGTGTGTGTTGCTCCGTGTGTGTGTGTTTGTGTGTGTGTTTGTGTTCATGTCCTGCTGTGTGTAATAACAGTGATTAGAGCAGAGCCAGAGCTCCTCACACAAACTGCACTGAGCTGAAGGAGGAACAGAGTCTCACAACAAACACACACACACACAAACACACACACACGGAGCACACACAACACACACACAACACACACACACACACACACACACACACAAACACACGCACACACACACTACTCACCATTATTTTGAACCAGTACACTACTACTAATACTATTACTCCTACTCCTACTACTATTACTACTCCTACTACTACTACTATTACTTCTACTACTCCTCTTACTCTTACTACTACTACTACTACTATTACTCCTACTACTCCTCTTACTCTTACTACTACTACTATTACTCCTACTACTCCTCTTACTCTTACTACTACTACTACTACTATTACTCCTACTACTCCTCTTACTCTTACTACTACTACTACTACTATTACTCCTACTACTCCTCTTACTCTTACTACTACTACTACTATTACTCCTACTCTACTACTATTACTACTCCTACTACTACTACTATTACTACTACTACTCCTACTACTCTTACTACTACTACTACTACTATTACTACTACTTACTTACTACTACTACTACTATTACTCCTACTACTCCTCTTACTCTTACTACTACTACTACTATTACTCCTACTACTCCTCTTACTACTTACTACTACTACTACTACTATTACTCCTACTACTCCTACTTACTACTACTACTACTACTACTACTATTACTCCTACTACTACCTACTTACTCTTACTACTACTACTACTACTACTATTACTCCTACTACTCCTCTTACTCTTACTACTACTACTACTACTATTACTCCTACTACTCCTCTTACTCTTACTACTACTACTACTACTATTACTCCTACTACTCCTCTTACTCTTACTACTACTACTACTATTACTACTACTACTACTACTACTATACTACTACTACTACTACTACTACTCTTACTACTACTACTACTACTACTACTTACTATTACTCCTACTACTCCTCTTACTCTTACTACTACTACTACTACTATTACTCTACTACTCCTCTACTCTCTACTACTACTACTACTACTACTACTACTACTACTACTACTATTACTCCTACTACTCCTACTTACTACTACTACTACTACTACTATTACTACTACTCTCTTACTCTTACTACTACTACCTACTACTCCTACTACTCTACTACTACTACTACTACTATTACTCCTACTACTACTACTACTACTCTACTACTCCTACTTACTACTATTACTCCTACTACTACTACTTACTACTACTACTACTCCTACTCCTACTACTACTACTCCTACTACTACTATTACTCCTACTCCTACTACTACTTACTCCTACTACTACTCCTACTACTACTACTACCTCTACTACTTCTCCTACTACTACTTCGTATTACTCCTACTACTACTCTTACTCTTACTACTACTACTACTATTACTCCTCCTCCTACTACTACTACTATTACTCCTACTACTTACTACTACTACTACTTACTCCTACTACTTACTATTACTACTCCTACTACTCCTACTACTACTATTACTATTACTCCTACTACTCCTACTACTCCTATTACTACTACTCCTACTACTCCTACTACTACTACTACTACTACTACTACTCCTACTACTACTATTACTACTACTATTACTACTACTACTCCTACTCCTCCTCCTCCTCCTCCTCCTCCTCCTCCTCCTCCTACTACTACTACTACTACTACTACTACTACTACTACTACTACTACTACTACTACTACTACTACTACTACTACTACTACTACTACTACTACTACTACTACTACTACTGTTACTAGTAGCAGCAGTAGCAGTAAAACTAATGGTACTACTGCTACTAATTCTACTGCTGTTACTGCTACTCCCAGGGCAGTAGACGGGGAAGAAAAAGAGTCTGTTGTCCGAAGGCCCCGGGGTTTTTGAGGCCCAGAATTGGACTCATATTAAATAATATTGGGGGGGGTTGTTCAGTGATCAGTGTTCAATCTCCAGCACAGAGTTTTATTTTTCAGCTGCTCGAAACATACAGACAAAGCCTCATTTTAAAGGGCGACAAAACACCAAAATCACTTTTTTTCTCCTGGCTCTCTGTGTAAATGTGTCTAAAACAGAAGTGTATCTCTGTCCCTGGATTTATTTTGGTATTTTCGTACATATTTATTAAACATGTGACTTTTTGGGGCAAAGTCGTGTCTGTATCGGCCTCTTTAGGATCAACTACGGTCAGGACATTTGAATTTTTGTGCTGGACTAACGGCGTCAACGAGTCAGACTTAGAGGTTAGAGGTTATTACGTGACGAGCGCAGACACCGGCGTCTACGGGCGGGACGTGAGGAGCCCCTCTCAGCCCCGCCCCGACCTGGATTGTTGTGGCTGTCGGTGGGCTGTCAATCATCACTCCAGAGACTGGCCCACACCCGCTGAGCACCGCCCACTCTGGAGGATTTTTCTGATTTTGCTTATGTAAAGCTTCGGGAGGGTGTTTAATGTCTCTTTAAAGATGCATTGTGCAACTTTTCTGGTTAAGTGTCCACTACCTGCTTGTCTCTATGGAGATGTTATTGCTTTAATCACATTCATCTAGCATTTATTCATTACAGCTGTTTGTATTGCTCTGAAACACAATAATTCCTTCTGTAAAAACACTGAAAAACACAACTCCAGGTCTGTTTGTGATGAGGAAATGACATCATAACAGAGTCCAGAAGAGGCTCATTTGGTCTTCCAATAATTTATGTTATTAGGTTATTTTTTTCTCAGACCAAGAGTTTTGTTTTCATGCGTGACACGGCGCTCTTCCTCAGAGTCTCGTGATGTCGCTGTGACGTGTCTGGCTGGATTAAAGAAGCAAATCGAAACATGGAAACGTGTCCACGGGATGAGGGGCTTTTTTTTTTTCTCACACACCTGGGATCTGTCCTGAGGAAGTGGGACTGCAGGTGGCGCTGTCGTCCTGCACCAAAACCTGTTTTAAATCAGCTGAGCGACACGTCACAGAAACATCACGTGACTCTGAGGAAGAGCGCAGGGAGCAGAACAAACTGTGAGGGATGAAAACAAACCCTTGGTCTGAAAAAAGTACGTAAGCCAAGAGGGGTCACAACAAAACGCAAACGCCGCGACAAATGCGACAACACAACAAAAAGCCACAACACACCAAAAAAAGCCACAACGGAAATTCCCGCGAGACTCTATTTTGATGCAAACGGCGCAACAAATACAAACGCCACAACACAAACGCAAAAGCCGCAACTCATTAAAAAGCCGCAACACATTAAAAAGTCACAACGGAAGTGACCGCGGGACTCTATTTTCCGACGGACCGATCAAGCGGCAAGTGAAGAAGAAGAACTACAACGTGAAAAGTAAAGGAACGGAGAAGTTGGAAACGTAAGTCAAAGTAATTTATTGTTTTATCATTATTCGTTTCATGTTGTAGTTCTTCTTCTTCTTCACTTGTAGCTTAATCGGTCCGTCGGAAAATAGAGTCCCGCGGTCACTTCCGTTGTGGTTTTTTGAAGTGTTGTGGCTTTTTAATGTGTTGTGGCTTTTGCGTTTGTGTTGCGGCGTTTGCATTAAACTAGAGTCCTGCGGTCACTTCCGTTGTGGCTTTTTTTTTGTGTTGTGGCTTTTTTTTTGTTGTGTTGTGGCTTTTTTTTTGTTGTGTTGTGGCTTTTTTTTGGTGTTGTGGCTTTTTTTTGTTGTGTTGTGGCTTTTTGTTGTGTTGTGGCTTTTTGGTGTGTTGTGGCTTTTTGGTGTGTTGTGGCTTTTTTTGGTGTGTTGTGGCTTTTTGTTGTGTTGCGGCTTTTTAATGTGTTGCGGCTTTTGCGTTTGTGTCGTGGCATTTGTATTTGTTGCGGCGTTTGCATTAAACTAGAGTCCCGCGGTCATTTCCCTTGTGGCTTTTTTTTTATGTGTTGTGGCTTTTTTTGGTGTGTTGTGGCTTTTGTTGGTGTGTTGTGGCTTTTTTTTGGTGTGTTGTGGCTTTTGTTGGTGTGTTGTGGCTTTTTTTGTGTGTTGTGGCTTTTTTTTGGTGTGTTGTGGCTTTTTGTTGTGTCGTCGCATTTGTATTTGCTGCGGCGTTTGCGTTTGTTGTGACCCCTGTCGGCTTCCGTAAAAAAGAACCTAAAAACATGACATTATAACACAGATCAGTAAACAGTGTGTGTGTGTGTTGTTGTGTGTGTGTGTGTGTGTGTGTTGTTGTGTGTGTGTGTTTTGTACTCACATGACAGCCTGGGGGTTCTGGAGCATACACGCCTTGGGGCCGAAGGTGGTGACGGGGCTGGGGCCATGGAGCCACTGAGTCCTCCTGAAAACACACAAACACACAAACAGAGACGCACAACTGTTAGAAACCGTGAAAACACAAACACGAGGGCTGCAAAAACAGAAAACATCCGTCAGACACAAACACGCGAGGCTCGTCCAAGTCTGATCCCGTCACATCTCAGAGGCTCAGAGGTCCTGGTCTGGACTTGGACCGGAGACCACTGGGAAAATCAGGAGCCACAGGAGGCGCCAAGTCACAAAAAACTGTTGTTGTGTCCTTAGGCAAGACACTTCACCCACATTGCCTAGTATGAGAGTGGAGTGTGTGCGTGAGTGATGGTGTTGGTTGGTGGTGGAGCAGATGGGCTGGCAGCCGCGCTTCCGTCAGTTTGCCCCAGGGCAGCTGTGGCTAATCCGGGTCTAAAGTAGGACGACCACAAGAGTTAACCAGGTCTAAACCAGGTCTAAACCAGGACTAAACCAGGACTAAACCAGGTCTAAACCAGGTCTAAACCAGGACTAAACCAGGTCTAAACCAGGTCTAAAACCAGGTCTAAACCAGGACTAAACCAGGTCTAAACCAGGACTAAACCAGGTCTAAACCAGGACTAAACCAGGTCTAAACCAGGACTAAACCAGGACTAAACCAGGTCTAAACCAGGACTAAACCAGGTCTAAACCAGGACTAAACCAGGACTAAACCAGGTCTAAACCAGGTCTAAACCAGGACTAAACCAGGACTAAACCAGGTCTAAACCAGGACTAAACCAGGTCTAAACCAGGACTAAACCAGGACTAAACCAGGACTAAAACCAGGTCTAAAACCAGGTCTAAACCAGGACTAAACCAGGACTAAACCAGGTCTAAACCAGGTCTAAACCAGGTCTAAACCAGGACTAAACCAGGACTAAACCAGGACTAAACCAGGTCTAAAACCAGGTCTAAACCAGGTCTAAACCAGGACTAAACCAGGACTAAACCAGGTCTAAACCAGGTCTAAACCAGGTCTAAACCAGGACTAAAACTAAACCAGGTCTAAACCAGGACTAAACCAGGTCTAAACCAGGTCTAAACCAGGTCTAAACCAGGACTAAACCAGGACTAAACCAGGTCTAAACCAGGTCTAAACCAGGTCTAAACCAGGTCTAACCAGGCCTAAACCAGGACTAAACCAGATCTACCTTAAGACTAAACCAGGTTTAAACCAGGTCTAAACCTGTTCTAAACCAGGACTACCACATGTATTAACCAGGTCTAAACCAGGTCTAAACCAGGACTAAACCAGGTCTAAACCAGGTCTAAACCGGGACTAAAACAGAACTACCTTAAGACTAAACCAGCTCTAAACAAGGACGACCAGAAGATTTAACCAAGTCAAAACCTGGACTAAATCAGGTCTAAACAAGGATTACCACGAGAGTTAACCAGGTCTAAACCAGGTCTAAACCAGGACTAAACCAGGACTACCATAAGCTTGAACCAGGAACTTGAACAGAACAGAACAGAACTTGAAAATCAGGAGCCACAGGAGGAGCCAGTCACAAAAACTCTTCTTCATCCACATTGTTTAGTAAGAAAATATTGTGTGTGTGAGTGATGGTGGTCGGACATGGTGCAGATTGGCAGCCGCGCTTCCGTCAGTCTGCCCCAGAGCAGCTGTGGCTACAACAGTAGTCAGCATCACCACCGGGTCTGGAGTGAATGAGTAACACTGTAAATCGTTTTTGTGACAATCGTCTGTAAAAGGTTTGACCAGGTTTTGTATTCACCCTGTGTGTGTGTCTGTGTGTGTGTGTGTGTGTGTGTGTGTGTGTGTGTGTGTGTGTGTGTGTGTGTGTGTGTGTGTGTGTGTATGTGTGTGTGTGTGTGTGTGTGTGTGGTGTGTGTGTGTGTGTGTGTTGTGTGTGTGTGTGTGTGTGTGTGTGTGTGTGTGTGTGTGTGTGTGTGTGTGTGTGTGTGTGTGTGTGTGTGTGTGTGTGTGTGTGTGTGTGTGTGTGTGTTGTGTGTGTGTGTGTGTGTGTGTGTCTGTGTGTGTGTGTGTGTGTGTGTGTGTGTGTGTGTGTGTGTGTGTGTGTGTGTGTGTGTGTCTGTGTGTGTGTGTGTGTCTGTGTGTGTGTGTGTGTGTGTGTGTGTGTATGTGTCTGTGTGTGTGTGTGTGTGTGTCTGTGTGTGTGTGTGTGTGTGTGTGTGTGTGTGTGTCCTGTGTGTGTGTGTGTGTGTGTGTGTCTGTGTGTGTGTGTGTGTGTGTGTGTGTGTGTGTGTATGTGTGTGTGTGTGTGTGTGTGTGTGTGTGTGTGTGTGTGTGTGTGTCTGTGTGTGTGTGTGTGTGTGTGTGTATGTGTGTGTGTGTGTGTGTGTGTGTGTGTGTGTGTGTGTGTGTGTGTGTGTGTGTGTCCACTCGGGATAATTCTGCCTTTTATGGACCGATTGTCACAAAATTTGGTACGTGGGTCAAGTCCTCGAGCCCGAGGCCGAAAGAAAAGTCTGGTGACGATTCGAGGTCATTTGAGGTCACACGGGTCAATTGAAAGGTCACGTCGTTATAAAGGAGCGGCAATTTCGGCAATTTCTGAACCATATTCACCCAATCATCACACAAGTTGGCACACACATAACCAGGCACACTGGATGTTACAGGTTGAAACCGGTCAAGGTCACCAAGGTCAAATATGGGCCCGGTCAAGCAGAAGTAAACATCAAGGCCAAAAATTCAAGTTAATTCATCTGATATAAAAATGTATTGAACAGATACATATGTACTCTAGTTTATCAAACTGTTGACCTTTTTTCTGGACCATTTTTGGTTCTAAAGTTCCATATGTTTTAAACAGACCATGTATGAAACATGGAACAAAAATTATTTCCCAAATTTCAAAAACCCAAAAATCATGTAAATAAATGGATGTATTTCATCATATCTTGTGTTATTCCATCTTTGAACTGTTGATGAAGGTACATGATTTTTTTTTTTTATGTATTTAAAATGATAAAAATGTTCTTGGAAGGACTGACATATTTTATAGAAATAGTTTCCTTTCATTTTGAAGTAATATTAAAGTTTTCAGAAGAAAAAACTGACAAATTGATGTAAAATCCTGCACCTTCTACTTGTTTGTACAATTTTCCCTCCATTACTTTTCCCTCCGTTACCATGACATTTCTTAATAAAAAATCTCATGAGTCAAAAAGTAAGAGGTTTTTCAACCTAATCTTGTACCATATGGTAGAAAACTATATGAAGCAAATATTCAAACCAGTTTGTTAAGGATATGTAAGTGAGAACCAAGAGTTATCACTGTTTGGATTTATTGCCCAAAAAGTGCTGCATATTTCATTCCCTCCGTTACCGACATGAGTTTTTAAAATTTTTTTGTCAACAACTTGAAAGAATCTCACAGGTTTAACTTGACCCTGTTGGAGTGTAACTCTTTCCTACATTCTGATACTTTACTTATTTCAATAGTCCCTCTAGTTTCTGAATAAGAGACATTTGAATGTCAAAAATCTGCCCCCGTTTCCCTCCGTTACCACTTGACCAAACCCAAATGCGTTTTTGGTCATAACAAACACATGTGAGTGACGTGACTCTGTGGTGTGTTCAGGGACAGTACGACACACACAGACAAATGACTCCACACATAAACACTGATGCGGAGCCACATAGTTGAACATTTATCTGTCTGTAAATTGGATTAAATCAACATAATGTAGAGAGTCTAAGATTTATAACGAGGTATAACAAGCCCACATGAAATATCGGCCCATATCGGCGAGATTTAGGCCGACTTCCGATTTTTAGCAGAGGCGAGACAGGACATAAGCACTGTGTCAAAACACGCTCTCTAAAACCGCTACAGTCATCATCAGGAGCTCGGAGAACGACTCGTGATGGACACAGAAAGTTTACAGGCGCGGAGGAGGAGGAATATAAAACACTTCACGACATCAGACAGAAACTTTACAAGAACAACTTCTGAAGGAAAAGACGCGAGGAGCAGACGAACAAAGTGAAATGGTGAGTGTTACGGCCCCGAGCCCTCCAGGTCTGTGATTTGTTTTGTGTGTGTTTTACTTTCTTTATTGTTCCGCCTGGAATCCTGCTGTGAGAGCCCTGGTCCCTGATTGGTGGATTACCTCTACACCTGGCCAATCCCGCCTCACCTCCAGACTCCTCCCCTTTATTTAAGGAAATTCCCAGCACCTGTTCGGGGCTGTTTGCCATTTTGTGTTTGTGTTCGTGTGTGTAGTTCTGTAGTTTAGTTCTGTAGTTTAGTTCTGTAGTTTAGTTCTGTAGTTTAGTTCTGTAGTTTAGTTCTATTTTGTGCCTTTTTTTTTTTTTTTTTTGGTCACTCGATTCTGTTTGTGGGCTTAAGTGGTTTAATTTGGGGAATTTGTGTTTTAGTTTTGTCTGTGTCCCTTAGTCTAACCACTCGTTTGTGTAAGTCTGCGTCACCCGTTTGTGGCACAAAACTCATCTGTTGTTTTGTTTGTTTGTTTAAAGTAGGGACGGGCGTTCGATGAAATTTTCTTAATCGATCGTCGGAAGATTTAACGATCGATTAATCATTAACGTTTTTATATTAAAATGATTATCATTATTATTACTATCTGCACTAGGGATGGGCATGATTAGTCGATTAATCGATAATTGATCATTAAGAATTTCATCGATTACGCTCATTTTAATCGACAAACTGAATGTAGGTTGTTGTGTGTAGTGTAATGTGACCAAACAGGTGTGTACATGTGTCTCTGCATCAGAAGGAGCGAGACACAAACAGTGGGTCAGTCTGCAGCGTAATGAAGTGCAAATGCGAATGATGTGCAACGATGACTTGTATAAGAAAGTCCACGCTTTCCGTTCGGGACAAGTGTGAGTCCATGTGCACAGTGTATAAAGCAGCACATATGTTTCTGTGTCCAGTGGGAAAAAGTTTTACCAGGTGAGAGTCGCTCAATGTGGATGACGAGGCCCCGCCCCCCTCCCCCCGTACGCTGTCCTGGTTTTGACAAACACAAATCTGGTCACACTGACCTGTA